ATAGAAACTGCACTTGTACCTACTTGAAGCAAATGGAAAGTGAGAATGAATGGAGAAAAGGAAGGAAATCGTCTCAGCCCCCTTGGTGGTCAGGCAAAAAAAAAAAAGGCTTTAAGAGGCCTTGCTGAGAAGTGGCCATCAGAAACTTTGAACTCAAGCCCCAGGACTGACAATAAAAAAGAATGGTTCAAACTTGTCCTGTGCACGTGTTGAACGGTCTTTTTCTCAGGAGCTTACCTCACTTGAAGGATAAACACTGTGTCTGGGTTCACCATGGGTGAACCCTCACTTTGCCACAAGAGCATTTCTGGCTCAGCCTCTCATGTCCCCCCACCCAGGAATCCCACTATTACTTACACAGGAAATCTCTCCCAGGCATATCACCTCTATCCATGCAGGAAATGAACTTGGAAAGTTTAAATCATGTTCCCAAGCAAGGACAGTTAAGAAATGGAACTTGGGGCTCAAACTCAGACCTTCAGACAACAAAATTTATACTCCATCAACTGGGGGCTACTGATTAAAATGACCTAGTATTTTCAGCTACAATTTTTTATTTAAATGGGTTGCTATTTTCTAACCCTAGATCGAGTTGAACCAGAGGAGTCAGCTTCATGATATGGATAAATAACTTCAGAAAAGACCACAAATTCTCTCATCACCGGATACTTATTGCTTTAGTAACTTTTTACTTATCACAATTGCGACTTAAGTTACTGATGAAATAAGAAAGATACCACGAGAACAACAAAGGAATTGCTTAGAAATCTTTCCTCAAGTTACACATAAGTCTGGAAAGTCAGGATGTTTCCATGTCCATAAAAATAGTCTGGTTTATTTTTCTGTGTCAATTCCACATGATATAGAGGATTTTTAAACCTACCTACAACGTTAACTACAGAAGTACTCTTGTGTGCTTTTGAAACATTCAACAAATGAGAATTTCAGCCCGTTAAAGGAAAGCATTAGCAATCTACAAAGCCTGAAAAGCAAAGATAAAATATCTTTAGCAATAAAGATAATGTCTTCTTTATGAAAGTGGAGTCTTAGGTCAGCATTTCCTGAAATGATGTTAAATATGCCCTCATTCTGCACTCATTTTTATTTAATAGGAGTTGTATGTCAGGAAAAAATTCAAAATTACTACTTGCTAGTGAATTTTACTGACAGGTAAAGTAAAAAGCCTGTTGGAGCCATACTTGTAAAAAATACTAAACATCTGTTTATCCTTTGCAATTAAATTGTTGAAGTAAATAATGACACCATTCTATATCTCAATGGGGAGGAAATGAACTATAAGCAGGTACTCTTACCTCGAAGTTGCCATATATTCTGATCTTATATTTGCTGAAGATAGAACTGCTTTGCAAATATGACCATTCAAATGTATTAGTTATTTCTTTACGGACTACTTGAGTTTGAATTTATTTTTAAATAGTGTTTCTCATTTTTGCTTGGACCGAGCCTCAGATCATAGTCCTCCCACCTCCTACCTCCCTAGCTTGAATTTCAGACCTATGCCACTATGCCTAGTTTATTATTTGAGATAGGGTCTTTCTAACATTTTTGCATATGCTGACATCAAACAGCAATCCTTCTAAACTCCACCTCCCAAGTAGCTGGGATAATCGGTGGCCCTATGACAGCTGGCCTTAAATTTTTTTATTAAGTTTTGTTATATAAATCATCACAAAATATATTTTAACATATGCCATCTATTCAAGCACACAATGCCTTTCATAGAAAATGAGTTGGTCTATTGACAGCACATGATTGTTAAATATGAATGCAAGTATTAATAACAATTTTTGTGTGAGAAGA